CCCCCCCCCCGGCAGTTTTCAGGCCCTGCGCCCCGTCAGCGCTAGATGGTAGCAAAGTATTGACGTGAGGAAAGGAAAACAAGCTGGATTTTCCGGGCAAAAGGCTAAAAGTCGCTCCCTGAGAGGCGCCTGTGGACCTGTGCGCTCCTGGGGAGCACAATGTGGGGAACTGGGTCCGGGGGGGTGGAAGGGAGCAGGGGAGGGAACAGAGGTGTTTGGGGGTTCCCTGTGGGGAGAGGCTGAGGGGAAGGGCTTTGGGGGCCCTGACAGCACCATACCCCCCCTGTACATCCAAGGAATTTATGTCTTCACAGTGGTGTGTGGTGGGAGGACAGGAGATAATGGGTGTAAGTTTTAAGGAGAGAGGTTCAAACTGGGTGTAAGGACAAACAGCCAAGCGTGGGAGTGGGTTGCCCATAGCAGTTTGTGTCATCTTTGGGGGATTTGAAGACCCAGCTGGATAAAGCAACCCAGGCTGGTCCCAGAGCTGACCCTGCTTAGAGTAGGACATTGGTCCAGAGACCTCCTGGGGTCCCTTTCAGCCTGAATTCTCCTACGGCCCTCTGAAATAACCTCGAGATCCTTCTCTGAATCTCCAATGACTTCTGGAGTCCACATGAGCTTCAACATCTACAACTTCTCGAGGCAGAGAGTTCCATGGCTGAATTACATCTCGCATGGGGAACCACCTGCTTTTGTGTGTTTGGTGCTCTTAGCCAGAGCCTCGCTCGTGCCGACGGCTCCCACTTCTCCTTGCTGGTGACATCCTGATCAACCAGTAGATTCTGGTGGATCTCTGAGTAACGTGAACAGAGCAGTGAGCAGAGCGGAGAGGCTGCCTGGATGAGAAAACAGGACTGCAGAGGTGGAGAGAACAGGCAGAAAGGGAAAACAGGCCACCAAAAAGAAAAAAAAATCCCACCAAATTATAGAAAAAAATGAAGAGAGATGCTGGCAACTGCCAAGTGACCCACTTTTATGATTTATGGGCTGGTAAAAACCTTTCTTTGAAAATCCCCTGATCTGGGGGCAGACCTGAAGCTATTTTGGCATCGCGCTGATGGCAGGTGTGCACCTGCGGACTGAAGGGTCAGGAGGGTCGGCAGGGAGGGAAGAGAGCACGTGGAAAGAGCAGCAGGTCGGCTGTTCCCACCGCTCGGGTTGGTTTATAAAGCAACCGGAGCCTGCTCTGGTGTCTGAGGTCAGCACAGCAGCCTGGCAGGCACGGCGGGGGGGTGTGTGGGGGGGTGTGTGCATGTGTTGTGAGACCTTCCTGCCTTCTCCACCTTGCCGGGTGGGTTTGGCAACATCCTGCCTATACAAAGCAAGATCCTCGAATGGAACAGGTTGAAAATATGGTTTAGACCATCTGCTCCCGTTGCTACTTTTCTCCTGCCTTCAGGGCTTTTTGGAGAGCTGAATTCAGTTTCCTTCCTACAGGGAGTGCCCTGCAATGCCTGGACCTGTTTCTACCTCTGATTTTACCTCCCCAGGGGTCTCCCAAGCATCCTGTGCCAACCAGCAATTTATCCGTGGTTTGGAGAGTGCTTGTGCTCTCAGGACATGGGCTGCACAAATAGTGACAAAGCATCTATCCAGACACACATCTTCTGCCATCGCCCCTCTCAAAGCTGTTGCAGCAGCTGCAGTGCGGGAAGGGATGTTTCAGATGTGGCCACGCCGTCAGGGGTTGTCTGTGTGTGTAGCCGTGCCCTGCTTTGGGCTGGCTGGGGTGTGAAAGCAATTCCTTCCCTTGAATTATGTGGTGGTGCACGTCCTCCACTGGGAGGATGTTTTTGTATGTCGTTGGGGATGGCACGGAGCGCAGGACAGGCGGGATGCCTGGGCTAGATGCTTGTCTAACAGCAAGCCAGCAGGGACAAGGCGACTGATTTCAAACCGACTCCCATACCCCCCTCCCTCCCCTTAATCCACACCCCCCTAAACACAGCCCTGTGCACCCTGTCACTGCCTCCTCATCTCCTCAGCCCTTCCTTACGTGAGCTGAGCTGTGCTCTCCTTTCGTTATCAGCTTCATCCACCTATTACAGCAACTTTTTATCTTGCATTTAGCTACTATCATTACCTGCTTTCCCTTTGCCACAAGGTCTCCACGCTCTTCAGTAAGCGTCCTTTAACATATTACAATCCCGAGACTTCACTCTCTGAATGCTCCTGCTTCCCTGGTAACAACTCACGTTCACTCATCTTCCATCTTGCCAAGCGAGCTGGACATTTCCAAAAATCCTTAGTTTTAATCCAACTGTACTCCCACCTGCAACTCCCATCAACTTCAGTTACACATAATCCTTTTCCCAAGTTTCTGTTTCTTTAGCTCAGAAGAGCATTAATTAGGAAAACTTCATTTTGGCTACAGAGCCAAACTACAGTACCAAACTCTGCCATTGCTCCCGGCAAGGAACACCAGGTAAATGCAGGTGGAGTTTTGGGCAGAAACGGATGGTAAAGCTTGGGCAAGAGGGCGACTGGCATGTTTGGGTTTGTTCCCCACATCTGAGCAGGGCTGTAGCCTAGGGCTCACATTCTGATCTTGCTTGTACTGGTGGAATTCAGATGCAGCAATGCTGATTCATTGGCCTCTGGGGTTTAAAAGGTACTTTCAGTTCTTTAATCAAAGGCTGTGGCTAATGAGAGTTGTGCAGGATCTGGATATGCCAAGCAGTGCAGAGAAATGCACATCTACAAGGAAGGGCAAGGAAGGCGTAACAACCTTCCTCTGTACTTGTTTAGCAATTCCTTATCAGCATATCTGGAAGCGGGCTATAAAGGCGGGTAAATAACCATCTGCCTCTGCAGATCAGCAGCCCCGGGCACAGACGGTGAGTCTTGCCTGAGGCCAGGCAGCAGCTCCTGGCAGAAGCAGGTGATGGAACCTCTTTTGTCTCCATTTCAGATTCTGACCCATTTTGTGACCTCAGGAATGATTGTAAAGTATGTTGTAAGTACATTTTTATTCTAATAAAGTAATCGGTAGGAGTTCCATCAAGGCGTTACACAGGTCTGCTGTTACTTCAAGGATAGACCACCTGGCTTGGTACATTCCTGGACATTACTGTTAGTTATTTGACAGTGTCATAAATACAAAAACTTTATAAGAGAAAGCCTAAGCCTTAAAATGTATAGCGAGCACTTAAGACACATGCTCATTGCTGCAGTGTAGGCACGGTGTCTCCAGCAATGCCCGAACACTCAGCTCCCAGGCCAGTCAGACCCTGGGAACTTTACGTTTCCAGCGAGTACGCTCATTGATGAGAAAAGAAAAACCATTGCTGCGGGGTTACATCATTTCCTTGTGTAGCCATTTGCTGTTTGTAACACGGACCTAGTGCTGAATTGGTGCCACAGGAAGCTATGTGCTGCCTAACAGAGACAAAAAAAAAAAAGCTGGAACAACAATTCAGATTTAAGAAGCCAAGGAAACACCCGTGAAGCCATCAGTTTAATTTGGTTTCCTGGGGGAAAAGGCTTGTGAGGAGAGATTTGCAATACCAGGGAATGATGCTGATGAATGTTTTGGATGGGATTTACCCCACCTCACTTTAAATGTTCAGAAGTTAGCTTTCTTAATCAAAATTAGTCAGCTTGCATAATCAACAGATCCTAAGATATATGAGATAATTGCCATCTCCAAGTTCCTATTTCAGCTGATCACTGGAGAGTTGACCAGCTCAGACTTAACTAGCTCTTAGGCCATCGTGTTGGTTGAGATGAATCCCCCCTTCCAAGCATCCAGGGCAACTAGAAAAAGAAAAGAACAAAGTCTGAGAGAGGGAGATGCACTGAGTTACCTAATCACATTGATTTGGAGCTGGAATTCACATGGCACTCAACAAAATACCCCAATGGGCAGAGCCTCCTGCTGGACACTCTCCCTTCAGGTAAGATCCATGGTGCGTCATGCCCCAGGCCTGGTCTTGACAAAGGTCCATGTCTCTTGCACCAAAAAACTTGAGACCCTCAAGTGACACAGTGCAGAATAATCTGCTCACAAATAAGAAGTCTCCTCCTAATCCTTGACGATAGCTAGTCAGCATTTTCTCTGAAACATGATTTCTAGTCCATGATTGTTGAGAATTCATGGGTGTACTGTGACTCTTCCTAACATGTGGAAAGGTTCGGTTTTACCCCAGCTCTCTCACTCTGGGATATGATAAGGCAATGAGTTACAGTTGTGCGTTCAATCCCCTTATCCTTAAAAACCTCTATTCGATAATTTACTGGATATTTCCTTAATTGCAGAGAGGACAAATAAGAGCACATGATTTACATTCTCTTAAATCATTGGACTAGTGCCAGCTCCCCACACGGAGCCATGTACAATGTTAATCCAGGGTGTGGGATTTGATTTCCTTCTCACTAACACGATTGAAAAGATGGAGCTGCCTTGTTTAACATGAGAAAGAAATTCTGTCTTCAGCCCTAACCAGGTTTTTCTTGAAGCATTTTCCCTGAGCCTCCTTTCTCCCACATATTAAAGGTTTTTCCCTTGAAGGCTGTGGTGCTTTCTTCACAGTTTCACTCATTTGGGAGGGGCTGTAGGTTACAGCTGAGGGATCGCGTTATCATTGGTGGTAAAGCGCTCACTTTGTAGGGAGGGTACAATTTCCATCACTCAAGTAGTGCTCCACTGTCTTCACAATCCCCTTGGTGCCTATAGAGACAGACAACTTCTGTAATTCACCAGCAAAGCATCACAGAGCAGCTCAGGCCAGGGGATATGCCCCAAGATGTCCGAGCGACGCACAGGCAAGCTCACGTGAGGTCCAGCAGCTCTAGCAAGGATCTGCACAAGTGTCTCCATTGCCAAAAGCCCAGGTGAACTCTGCAGAGGCAACATGCCCAGAAGAAAAAGAGAATATAGCACCAGCTCCAGAGCAGCAGCAACAGGAAACCAGGCTGAGAAGCACAGCAGGAAAACAGACTTAGACTGTACTCCAGTTTGGAAATGGTGGATCCCACCTGGAGAAAAAAAAAAAAAAAAAAGTATAAAGCCTTTGCTCCAACACCTTTCTATCTAAACTGGCTTAAAGGCAGTTAAGATTTCTTTTGGCCAGTCTACCTAAGGATAGATGAAGGACCTCCATTCCCATTTCTTTTTATTATGTGGTGAGGTCAATGAAAAAAGTCTTCTCTAGCAACAGCTGAGGAAAAAAAAAAAAGCTGGATCCTTATGAAGGACTCAAAAGCACGTGTTCTTCAGCGAGCGCAATCCGTGACTCGGTTAACGTTGCTGTTGTTTCCCCAGCGCCAGGCAGATGACCTTCTGTTCTGCTGGGATGGAAGATATTCTGGATCCTTCCTTACTCTGTGTCAGATGTGTTAGATGGAGGAATGTGCCAGGGCTGAGCCTCAAACAGTGGAGATGCTAGACGAAAGAGAAATTATGTGAGAATCAGATTAATTTAGTCAGAGAATTCAGACCCTAAGCATAATTTTGGTGGCATTTAGTACCTCAAATACCTTTGTAAATCTGGGTTGAATGGAAAGACAGTTTCCATTCAGCATCTTATTGCAGAGAAATCAATTATCACTCAAAACATCTACTTTTCTGGCCCACCTTTCTGACAAACTGCAAACATGCCCTGGTAAAGCCCAGCTGACACAGTCTCTAAAGTTGGTAAGTTTACCTTGGGAAAAGCCTGGCAGAGATCACAAAGGTCCAGGAGAAGGGATTAAGACAGGATTTGTCTCTCTCTAATACAAAAAAAATATAGGTTTGCCTTGCAAATTGCCCCTAATCCAAATGCAATCCCTCGGGGACAATTTAACTTGGTAGTTTTTATACTACAGTAATGGTGTTTGTAGGTAGCTTGCTTCCCTGCTCTCCCTAGCACTTTGCTTGTACACAGTTTTTAATTTTTTTATCTTGTAGAAGACAGTGACTGCAGCAGAGCTCAGGCTGGACACTGCAGGCCCCTGCACGTGCCCTTATCCCCCATCCATATGGAATCATTAATGATCACTGAGTGGCTGCTTCCCTGCAGGAGCTCCCCTTACTCCATCCCCGCATCCTCTTTGACAACACCAAACCATACCTCGACAGCAGTCGCAGATCGGTTCACAGAAGTTAAGAGACTTAAGAAACACCTTATTCCTGCTCCCAGTGCCTCCCGGATGCAGCAGTCGGAGCTGAGTGCCACATTCCTGGGAGGCCACAACACTGCTGCCGGACCAGTGGAATCCCCTTGATTGACTGGAACAAGCAATAACTCAGCCAAGGCCCTGAGCCTACGCTTAACTCTTCATGACTTGGCCCCAGTCTGGCTTACAGCCTTCCTAAGGCTCTGTCCAGGCAATGGGACGTCAGGACCAGGGCCCTATTTTAAAGAAACCTTGTGTTGCTTTAGAAATACACGGTGCTGTAACCCCTCAGCCTAATTTTGATGCTTTCCTCTCTTGGCTTTCATGACCAGGATGCATTTATGTACTACTTTCTCCGTGAAGTCTTCACGTGTTTTCCTTGGGCCTTATCTTACTCATTCCAGTGCTTTTCCCTATTCATCCTTTGTCTGTGTTTGAATTCTTTCTTTCATCTCCCACAGAAGTATTTGTGATCATTCATTTGCACCGTGGGCCCTCCTCACGGGAGTTAGCCCATGGACCTGCCACAAACGAGCGAGATCCAAAGGGATGCTGGAGGTCTCCACGTGCTCCATTATCACCCTTCTAGATGGGCTCATCAATAATTACAGGATAGTTGATGCCCTGTAGAAGTTCTCCTCACTCTACCCCTGTGATCTCTTTGAAAATCCTAACAGGATCACATCAGAAGCCTCTTTTCCTTTGTTCGGTCCAGATTCTTTATCTGCTACCCTCCTTGTACTATAAAAAATCATCAGGGGTCACAGATTGCAATCCTTATGTTGGCAACCTACTTGTGAACTAACACGACATTTACCAAAATCTGCACAAATGTTGTGCACCTCTGAAAGATACCAAAAGGTTTTCCCAGCGGGCTGCAGACACCGAGGACCTTCAGGAAATACTGGGTGTATCACGAGGTGAGGTCATCATGAAGAGGTGCCCAAGCCAACCCTAGACTGAAATGGCATAAAATTGGTTTTGATTTTGTCAGTCTGCCTCCTTATTTTTGGAAGGCGTTCACGGATCAGCTGCTTTCTCAGCTGTTGTCTCCCTGCTTTGTCCTGTAACTTGCTGAATGCTCTGATTCCAACCCAACCATAGCAGCTCCTCCTGGCATCTATCCAGGACCTGGCAGAGTCCACGGACTTTGGACTGAGCCCACTGTCACTTCTGATCTAAGATCTTTTCCTCTGCCTTGAGTATTAGTGAGTTAAACCCACGTGAAGCCCGTGCCAGCGTTTAACACCAAGATGACAGTCGTGACAGACAGGTGGATCTAGCAAGTGCTAGATGTGACGTCTTTGGCCATATGTTCTCTTTTGATGCAGCAGATCACTGTCATCTGGATTCCCACCATCCAGAATGACTGCCTTCTCCTTCACCTACAGAAATATACTGCCAGCACCATCTCCTTTCCTCTGTGCACTAAATTTGGATATTTGAAGTCTCTACAATAGCCTCCACGTGGGACGTGGCAGCATACTAACATGGAGAGCTGGTGTTTGTCAAGTCTTTCCTTCCTCTTTCACGTGGCTTTGGCACCGGAGCTCGAACAGGTGCTGGTCGTATCCCGGCGTTCCACTGGGAGCTCTGGGCCAGGGTCTTTGCGGCTGCTTTGGAGGGCAGGTTCCCAGTTGACTGGTGAGTGGCCCAGCTGGGACGAACTGGTGGTTTTGGAACAGAGTCAAGATCTGCAGAAACTGATAGCTAGGGAGAGAAGGCAGTAATTATCATCATCCCAAAAGCTTCAGAGGGACTGAAAACGTTAGAGTCCATTGAGAACTATAAATTCTATACATCCTGTATACATTCTATAAATTATATTCCTAAATGATACCCCTAAATTACAGTCGTGAATGATACACGCCTAATCTGTATTATTTGCAGTGACCTGTGCTCTGGTATGAGTTTACCTTAAGGACAAAAGGACCCAATTAGAAATTGAAGCTAGTAAAGCCAAACCCACACTAATTGATTCTCCACATCAATTCATATGTTAATGCACTAATTCTCCCCCGTGCATATGGCTGCAGACTGATCCCAGTCTTGTTTCAAGTCTCACAGTGTAAAGGATTACGTTTATTTTAGCATACCGTTCAATGAGCATTTTACTAAACAGTCTAAAAATTAAG